TGCACTAGTACAGTTATGCTTAATTAAAGTGAACCATGTCACATTGTATAAAAGCCCATCAAGGGTGAAGATGACAGAGTAATGTGCTCCAGCACTGCAGCTTAATTCGGTTGTGAAGTACCATCATTCTATTTCCAGTGCCTTCTCAAACCCAATATCACTTCACAAACCATTTAGAGAGAGGTGAAAAATCATATATAGTCTCACGGGGTGACTGTGGTTCAGTGGGTAGAGCAGTCGTCTCCCAACCGGAGAGTTGGAGGTCCACATGTCGAAGTGTCCTTGGGCAAGACACTGAACCCCCAACTTGCCCCTAATGGTTAGAGCCATTGGTGTGAGTTGGCACCGTGGACGGCTGCCTCGGTTCTGTACCGGAAACAAATTCCTTGTGTAACATACTTGGCCAAATAAAGGTGATTATCCTTAAATCTGTCAAAATATAGGCTAAAGATAAAAAGGTACACTTTTGTTCCAGTAACATAGGGATGCCCCCTCTCTCTGCACCAAAATTAGGGTGTGTCCAAAAAGTTCTCAAAATAAATGATGCAGTAGGACCTACAGTTGATAGTAGGCTTTATGTCACTTAGCAATAACTGTAACCCCTGTAAGTACACTGTATGTCTGTTATACAGTTTTTCTAAGATTTTGTTTGTGACTACCGTTTACACACTGGAATGGGAACAGTCTAAAATTACGACATGGTGTATTCATATGCCATCATAATATCTGACAACAAACTGTTTCCAGTGACAACATGGCAACAGTTTTGGCTTATTTAACCAAAGTAACAGCAATTCTGCTACAGACTACATGTGACCGTTTTTGAGATTTATTAGTTGATATATATTGCTCCAAGTTAAAATACTGAAGATCTGACTGCCATGCCTCTTTTTCTGCCAATAGAAAACTACACTTCAGCACTTTACTCTTCACCTCTGTTGTAGAGCTTTGGGAAATGCAGACTTTGGCAAGAACTTTATCGACTGAGGCAAGGAGCACAAGCCTCTGAAAGCTTTTGAAAAACTTAACATAAATCATCTCATACACCTGCATTTCGGTCTGACCACAGGCTTGAATTTCCAAAGTCTTTACAACAGCAGTGATGAGTAAAATGTTATGGTACCCTGCGGAGTTTTACACCACTAGCACTGCAGAGCAATGTTTTGATGTGGAGGTGGCCATATTTTTGGTATTAAGTTTTCTATCAACAAGAACATGGAGGTACTACGCTATACACAGTACTGTATGACCATGCTCTCAAACCTCAGTAAAAGAAGAATATGGAAACAGAACTTCCTACGATTATAGCTAAAGAACAAACTTTGAGTAAACATTCGATAGCCACGTAAAACGACAGCTGAGTTCACATTTCCAGATATAATATTCAACAGTAGTTTGTCATTTCACTCCCTGACTACTATTCATGTCCATCAGAAAAACTAAAGGAAGCTTTCAGCCAATCACAAAACACAAACATCTCATTCAAACAGTCGCCCCCAGAGCATGTTTCCTTGATCTTAATTTAAGATAGAATCTATGGTGAACACTGGCTCAGGGCGCGGGATTAATTTTTCATTGCAGTTCTTTTAAAGCACCAAGGACGTGCCACATCAAATCTGCTCAAACCTCAACACCCGGTTTAATAGCTTGGCTTGAAACAAAGTCTTTTGATGGATGTGGTTTTAAAAGGTAAATAGAGAAATGAAGGTGGGAGGACATCTTTATGTTCTTTCAGTCTCACTGTATTTCTTTTTCTTTGTTTAAAAAGGTCTTGCGCAAATACTCCTGGCACAGTGACAAGTACCTGATTGGAGAGTCCTGTCTACATGTCCACATATACATACAACTCTTCATTTTGTAAATCCTCACCAGTTAGAAATGGACAACAACAAAAGGAGAGGTAATTCACCTTGGTTAGTCCTAGGATCAACAAATCAAGCAACAGAAATAAGTGAAAATCAATGTTATTGGGAATACTGATTAAACGTTTGATTCAATTAAGTATTTCAGGTGCAATAAATAAAGAATTTGATAAACCAGTTAAGTTGATTTGTCAAGTAAAAACACAAAGTAGTTGCTCATAACAATATCTTAATTGTGAGGACTTTTCTCTGTTTCATATAACTCAGGGTTTTTGACCGTTTGCCAGACAAAAATAAGTAATGACATCATCTACTGACTTTCTGTACTGTACAAATGAATTTATCAAAAACAATTAGATTGATCAGAACTCCTTAAAGTGATCAAAACAAAAAATCAGTAACAAAATATAACCACAGTAAAGCAAAAAGAATTAAAAGAAAAGAATAAAACAACAAGGAAACAATGTTATGGTGTTTATCCAATGCTGTGCTTATGAAATGCACAAAAATATCTTTTAACTTGAAACAAATGCAGCTACAAAGAGCACTTGTGTTCTTTCTGTTCAGTCATTCTACATCATACAAATGCTACACTGTATAACATCACTACATTTACTACATCATACAAATGCTACACTGTATAACGTCACTACGTTTACTCACACATCTCAACCTACACCTGCACACACGCAGGAAGAGAGGTCAAAGTTAACAACTGCTCCTCAGCCTCTTTAATGTCCAGCACCACCCCTGCAGAAAACAAACACCTTTTCTACACCACATGTAGACAGACTCATTTGGTCTTTTCACCTCAGGTCTGAGGCGTTTTATGTTCTTTGGTTAAATCCACATCTAACAACTATACACATAGATGTTGACATATCCGCAATAACCATCACTGCCTAACATCTCAGAGCTGACCGCCATGTTACCATGGAAATAAGCAGTCAAGTGTCCAGTCATACAGATATTGATTACCTCCCTGTAGTGTGAAGATTGCAGCTTTTCAAAACACCCTTTTGCTTGGGCCCATGTGCACGCTCACTCTCATAGTCTCAGCAGCATTCTCTGTGAGCTGCAGAGCTTGTCAATGCTAGTGCAGTCTACTTTCACAGTAACACTGCAGGAAGTCAGGGATGGATTATTACAATGTGGCCTTTGACTTGTGATGTAAACCAAGCCGATCTTTACAGAGACTGACGCTATAAAGCTGTTGTAGTGGTCGACAGACAGCTGAGGCACAGTGCAAAAGAAGAGGTGTCTGGTCCATCCGCAGGCATGCCATTACCCAGGTAGCGTGTATGTGCTTCTCAAATTTCCCTCAATCTTGCTGAAGGAGATGATGACAGGATATGAGACTTAGCAGTGTTGCACACTTGCACGCTGGTCAGGCTGGATTAGAGCCAATTCACACAGTCCTCTGTTCCCACCTCATTCTTTACTGGGAGAGGGGAAAGGTGCCAGAGAGATTTCATGCCTGAGACAGACAAGTTACAGTTGTGTGTTCCATACAGACAATCCTAACCAACACTCTGTTTCCAGTACACCCAGTGCGCTCTGTCCCACTGACACACGCTGACAGCGTGAAAATGGGAATCTGCCAGCAAAGCAGGGAGCAAACTGTAGCCCACAATCTGCTAACCAAGTTAAACGCTTTCCCCGTTTTCTTTGTTTGTTTTCCCTTTGAGTGGAACTTTTAAGAATGACAGCTCATGGCTTTCACTGTTAGTCATACGTGTAGGCTACTCCTGCAGGACTGACAGAGGTTACAAAGGTCAAACGCTTACATTATGTTCTTGAGTTTAAAAAAGCTTCTTGATAACCAGGGTCTCCAGCATCTTTTAGCCTGGTTTGCAGAACTTCACAAAGTAGGCCCCACATCTCGGTTGAACAGTCAACATACAAGCTGGGGTAATTCTGTCGTATTCCATTTACTGAACATAATGTGGCCATTGGTGCTGATCTAGAGCTCCTTCATCCACATCTATATAGGCCAAGCCAAAAACTCACTCTTCCCACAGAAATAACCAAGCACAAAGGAACAGTCTGACAAAGGAGAGAATGCAATCGATACAAAACGCCTGTGTAAAATGCTTCAAAGAGTGAGTTTTGCCTGAGACCACGGGCAGGGCATAGGTGTGCCGCTTTACCTTGGTGTTCCTGTTAAGCTTTACAGTCTTCTTAATCCTTATAAAGCTCACAAAAGTCACTGAAATACCATTTAAAGTAACAATTCAACACAAACCAATAACAGGGTTTTTTCTATACACTGTTCTTACAAAGACAGCAGGGTGCCACTTGATGGGGTCGTCAAGTACAAAATAAGCAACTCGTATATTACTCTTTGGTGAACAGCATAAATTACATTTGTTAAGATTATCTGGGTCTTTTGTAAAATAGGAGGAGGTAAAGTGAAACAGCAACAACAAAAAAGAAAATACATTTGTAAGACAACAGTCTGTGTCTTCATTTCTCTCAGAGGCAGAGTTGCTGACAGTAAAATCAAATATATAGTCATGAATTGCTTCCACTAAATGAATATAGCCCAAAATATCTGTTAAAGGAGAAAAATGTACTTGCTCTTTTTCAATGTGTGTACAGTTTGAGTGTGCTCTAAGGCTTATTAAGTGATTATATTATCCCTATGTACTGTGTCTCAGACAGAATGAACACAGTAAAAAACCATTTAGTTGCACCACGGTCTGATAGACAGATTAGACTTCAGATTATGAGTAGTTGTGCAAAAGCTATCACTCTTTGTTGGTATTACAATATTCAAATGCTAATAGGTGTTACACTGCAATCTATTTCAAAAGAAAAACTGCAATAACCAACAAAAGGTACCCCCAATTCATTTTCAGGCTGTATAATTTCAAAATCCCTCATTTGCAAGTTCTACCATTTACAGGAACTGTGCTGGCATTTACAGCATCTCCAAATTACAAGCCATTAGCAATATCAGGGCTGAAAATAAAAATCCAGGCCATAAAAATGACCCCACTTGCAGAGTTTGGGATGTGTTCTGCAACATCCTCCCAAAAGAAGATAAATGTATGTGTGTGTGATTACGGGGTTGAATGAAGACAGATACATTGAAGGAACAAGATTCAGAAGCCAAATAAATAATGGGCTACTTACCGCAACTTTGCTCCCAGTTATCTGCATGCAGCGATCAGCGGAGAAGGTTAATGTGCAAAAAGACACAAACAGCACAATCATTAGTAGGCCAAAGAATCCACTCCATTACATGTTGAGGCATTAGCGCAACTTGTGACATCACAAACAACTTTCACACAATTACAGCACACACTATACAGCTAAAGTTTTTAAAAGCAAACAGGAGAACCTGTAATTACTGTATGGCCACATACAGTACTGAAGATAATGTCTGTTCGGCAGCTGCAATTGTCCAATTTATCATAAGACAAACAAAATAAAGTGATTAAATGAAGCCATCAAGACAAAAGAACTTGCAAAGCGCTTTGATAGCATCAGGTATTAATACATGGCAACAACAGCTGTGGAAGTGATAAATCAACATGCCAATATCACACAAGGGACTTCTTAAATGATTAAGAGGAAAATGTGATTATCCTTGGGACTGACTGACTGGTATGAATTCAGATTAATCTCAAAGGAACAGTGGCTGGTGTGGAAAAAGAGGATGCAGAGAGTCTCCCTGTGCTGAAATCAATCAGCTGCCATTAACACTGAGCTTCAGGTGTCAAATTTGTGTGGCAGAGCTACCTTGGGCATGTGCAGTCAGCATGATTCTTGGAGTTTAACCTTCTTATCTGTCAATACTGGCAGGAGCAAAAGTGTTTATTACTCCAGCTGTGGGGCTTGTTTCACAGTAGGAGAGTGTCTGTCAGACAAGTAAATGTATTCTAATCTGTGGCTGAGCTTCTCTTTCCATGCCACGTTTCCAAAGAAATGCATTTTGATTGCATAAAGTTACAGGGCACTGAACTGTTTTTACTTTTTCTTTCCCATTTTCACTTCCTCGTATTCCCTCCTCCTTCTGTCTCTTCTAATCTCCCTTTGCACGTCTTTTATTGTCACTCTCGAACTCTCCAAGTCTCTGGCCATCTGATGCTTGAGTTCCCCCCCTCCATCCCTCTAACAAGAGTTTATGACAGCTATAAACTGCGTTTACTCTGTTTCACATGTATCACCATCTGATCACGCACATACTACTATTTAATCATATTGTGTACCCACATTTCCTTGGTCTCCAGTGAATGTAGCATGCACCTGTCTAACACTATGGAATACTTGATCTGAAAATTGCAGGTTAGACACAATGATGCAACCTCTTCCACAGGTGTTGAAGCCTACGTAAATATATGTGGTTTTAGAGCAGCTTGACCAAAACAGACACTATCATGAGGGTACACAGACAACAGTCAGGGAGGAGCTACAGGGGGTAAAGCACGGTTTGACTAACAGATTTGCATTTTGAATCCAATGCAACACCTTGTTCTCAAAAGTGCAGACTCTTTAGTTCAGATGCCCATTAATATGTTCAGTACTACTGAGGGATTACTACCCAGTGAGATGTGCTAATGAGCATTTCTCATACTTGGGGGCGGCTGTGGCTCAGGAGGTAGAGCGGGTCGTTTCCTAACCGGAGGATTAGCGGTTTGATTCCCAGCTTGTCCAGTCAACATGTCGAGGTGTCCTTGAACAAGACACTGTACCCCCAGTTGCTCCCGGTGATGTCACCGGTGTGTGAATGCGTGAGTGCTTGCGAATGGCCCAATAATGTGAAAGCGCTTTGAGTGTGCTGTAAATGCATAGAAAGGCGCTATACAAGTATAAGACCATTTACCAAGACCATACTGCAGCATAAATAAACTAAGGACAAGTCACCGTATACATGTTCTCAACACAAATATAGCAATCACCATCCTTTTCATGATGGAAAATGTATATTCATTCCATAAACACTCATCAATATAATAATAAGCCCCCTTTCCGCTGCCCGGTACCGGCTCAACTTGAACTCTTCTCACTTTTGGACCCAGGTGCTTGGTTTTCCATTACAGACGGTCCCCTCTCAATGTAGCTGGTTGTCATAACAACATTGAATTACACTGTCGTGACGTCATCAGCAACCGACGCCACAACAGCGGAGGACGTTGAATGTATGATGTTCTTGATTCTTGAAATGCGGCCGTTTATAGTTAGTGCAGTAACTACAGTAGCACTCAACATTACATTACGTTGCTTTTAAAATTGGCACTTTTTGTTCCATGACGTTTCACATGTTGATGACGTGATTTCTCTGACCAATCACTAGTCTGCAATGTTGCCACATCACCGTTTGGTATCACCTCCGCTCGACTGGAACCTTGACGAAGGTGGCATCAAACACAGTACCAGGTACTATCCCTAGCATCTGACAGAAAAACAAATAAGGCAAGACGAGTCACGTTGAGCCGGTACCAGGAGGTGGAAAAGGGGCCTGGCTGGTTTGATCAAATGCCAGGCCCCATGAAGAGAACAAGGCAGCACACTGATGGTCACATCAAATCATTATTTGAATACAACATATAGACAATCCCCCTTACAAGACCCTGCCATCACTTTTCCTGAGGCACAGCCATTTTTGAAACGTAACAAAAAAAAACCATTCTCTAAGTTTACAAAGTGGAACTCTGAGAAGTAACTGTATTAGTGCAAAAAGAATTTTGGCAGTTTTAATGATGTTGGCGCACATTTACAGAAAGAAGAAAGAACAAGAAATGGGAGAGGCAACTGTTCATGCAAAGCTGAAGGTCAAGGACATCCACAGACACACTCCTGCAAAAGTAGAGCTGGATTACATTGAAGCACAACTCAAATTCAAATGAACAGGGTCAATGTAGAAATCTCCCTTGAAAAGACATTCTATTTTGTGTTGGGGTAATTTGCTAGACTCCTGCTGAGGCACCCTGGTAGAGTATGGATAGGAGTGTTCTCAATCTTGCCTGGTGATAGACTAGTGTAGAGGTGGCAATTCATGAGGGAGGGAGGAGAAAAAAAAAGCTTTGGCTGTTGTGGTATATTAGCATGTGAAAATGATAAATATACACACATAACAAAATCTGATTTGTGAAAGGAATCTTGGGCACTTCAATCGAATGTATTAAAGTGTTTAATTTTTGTCTCATTGTTTAAAGGGTTACTTTTATGGGGCAACAAAACATGTCCAATATAGCAGGGACAGAAAAAAAATCCACCCTGTTCATTTGTAGTTTTGTTACAACAGTATTTACAGATTTAAACTGCCTGCATTTATGAGCTGTAAATCAAGAAAGCAAAAGAGTTGCCCAAGTCTAAATACACACATTTGAGTACTGATGGGTGGGGGGAGCTGGTAACATTCCTGGATGTCCAGCTTGTATTTACTGCAATAAAGTACAAGTTTAAATCATGTTACTCCTACAATATAGGAAAACTCCACTCTCGTTCAACAAAGCAGAAAAAAGATTAAAAGTGAAGACACCACAGCAGAGCAGACACCCCAACATGTCTAAAGTGCACCTTTCATGTTTTCGGTGCAGAATATTCTCATTTAGCCCACAGTGCACGCTCATCAGTAACCACAAGCAACATTAGCCCCAGATGATGTCCAACCCTGCAGGGGAAATGCACTTTCAGTGGTACAATTTTTAATACACAGGCTCATGTTAATACATAGAAATTTGGTCAAACAAGTTACCTGGAACATCAAAGCAGTCACAAATTACTGCCTGACAAACTGTAGTTTGTGCTGATTCTGGCCTATGTATTAGCTTCTGAAGTTATGAGGACTCCCCGCACGTCAAGACGTTACCAAAACCGAAGCACAAGATGCCTGTGAGGCAGCTGAAACAGCATTCTCACAAGCTCCAGGCTGGAACTCTCCAGTTTCACTGTTACGCAGATTTTTATAACTGCATTTTCCTTCTTACCGTCTGTCACGGGCTAAAAGTCCACAGAACTCAAATATGATTTAAAACAGTACATATTCAATTACTGTATGGATGTTTTAAAACCATTTTAATTAACAAGTGAAAATATCTGCTAATGAACAACCTTATTTCCAAAGAAACTAAAAGCCCCAGGATCACCTTAAACAATTTAGGTTTGGGTGTTTTTCAGCTTAAGTAAATATATTTTCAGACTTTCAAACAATTGTTATAGCTTGTTTTTTGCAATTCTCTGATATACCCTTAAAGAATGAAATAAATGGCCAGTTCCTCTGTCCTTCAAAACTATAAGATGTGTGTATCGTGTCTAAGGAGACTTGGTATTAGTGTCACATTACATTACAATCGCACACAGTGTCCCCGAAACTACAAAGTTCAAACCAAGTTGCATTCATATATTATCAGTATATTAGTGTGTTGCTGTACAGGTGTTCTAGTGTAATTGTAACCTGCATGAATGTGTGTTAGCACAGATACCTCATCGCTGACATTCAGCCACCCGCTTCTTCAGTCCTATTAAATGTGACAGTAGGGTGCTAACAGACATCCCATTTTGTCCTCTGTCCTTTGACTACACAGATTACGGTATTCATTTGAATAAAATATCATTGCTCACAAAGCATAATGGGCCATGTGAGGAATTCAATCATCTCAGATAATCATCATTATCAATAATGCCAGTTAATTACCATAACAATGAGGAAGGTAATAAATGATTATGTCAAGAAGGAGCTACCAGGTTTTGGAAGCAATGAGGGCAGAAATCACTTTTTTTTTTCTGTGCTGATGTGAATTTCACCTTACAAGGTTGGCCATAGCTTCCAAAAGGGGAAAGAAGATCATCATCATAAATTAATTAATGTCTGTCAAAACCCTACTTTTCAATGCTGTTAGATTTGAGTGACAAAGTATTAAATTCCAAATTACTCTACATGAATGAGCAACATAATCTTAATTAGTATTATTAATCTCAGAATAACTGATCGTAAACAATCCAGCAAAACTATTCAGATAAGCACTCAAGAGTTCAGCTATGGGGATGCTTCTTACTGTTGCACTGCCGCTGAGCCAAGAGGTTGACTAAACTATTTATACTTTTAAACCAAATAATGAGGCAAAGCACCACCACCACCAGGCAAAGAAAACTCACATGCAAATAGCATCTGGACCACCAGCAGCTTTCATGCATGCACATTACTAAACAAGCACTGACCTAGCATTTGAGTGAGCGCGTGACTATATCCAGTAGATTGTGGCACAATAGGGAAAATAATGGAGAAAATAAAATAAACTTGTAATTAAAGATAAGAGACTCAAGCATGAACAGCACAGAGACAATGACAGAGGTGAGAGTGCACAAGAATGGATAACAAAGCAAGCCATAAAACAAAGGGTCTGCTTAAAATCATTATGGAGAGTCACAATACTTCAGCCCATCCACTAAAGCTGTACAGTCTTCTTCACTTTATAAAGACACACCATTTAGGCTTATTCTTTTACTTACAGATTTAGCAGTGGCAGAAATGTACTGGACCACCATCTCGCGTTTGGTGCTTAAGTCCTTTCCACGCAGAGGGGCTTTGCGTTCCTCATTCAGGTTCATGTCCTCCTGAATACACACAGAAAGAGAGGACATTAATGTACAGTAATAGCAGAGACTGGGTGCTTGGTAACAACATGGAATGAAAAAATTATCTTGAAAAGAAAGCTGATTATATTCAGTGCAATAATATTTATGCTTTATTATATGACAGTTACCTGCATCAAACAATTACAGACAATGGTGGCCAATAATGCACATACTAAGCAAGTTGTATGCTTAAACCCAAAACACATTTCAAAATAAGTGCATTTCAAAACAGTACAATAGTTTCATTATTAAGCAGAAATATTTCAGTACAACCCTTTTACGCCCTGTCCTTCTATAGCTGAAAACATTTCTTTTGAACTTATGTATCTTTGGCAAAATCAGACCGCACTGCAACAGGAAATTATGAGTCATAATTAGTCCTTGAAACGAAAGTAGCAAGACTACAGCATTTTAAACTGTACAACCCAACTCCAAACAAGAGCACAAAAATCAAACAACACTGCTTCTATTGAGGCCATGCAATCCCATCAGATAGGCAGTATCTGCATGTTATTGGGAGTATTATCTTCATGCTACTTTAATTCTGCATTACAAAAGAGGTCTTTCATGTGAGAGACATCAGGGGATGAAGCGAAGGCCGGACAGAGCACTAAAAGCTAGGGAATGACATGATGATTAGAATGGAGGGGGATGTTTATCAGAAGCACTCTCTCACAAAGAGATGGCTAGAATGAACAGAGATATATAAAAAACAAAAATCCTCCTCAGTTCACTTGGCTAGTGAACCTAAAGTAGTAGAGCCATGCTGCCCTCTGGTGGAAAACCATGTATCGCCTGGCTTGGCAGTGATTGCCCTCTGTCTAGCTTAATAAAAAATTCACCTAATAAATTAAGTGTGTCACTTCTAAATAAGAACACTGTGTTATATAACGATCTGACCATCGTACCACAAGTAATCAAATTCGAATTCTTTGCTTCATTTGTCAATGAAGAATGGGCAGGAATCCCATCCAGAGGCACAGTGACCTAAATTCTTCCAACTATATTTCCTCTAGTAAACATCCTCAGAGCTTTAAAAAAAAAAAAAGTGGGGGGGGGGGCTTTTACATTGGATATGTTTGTCACCCAAGGAAACCAGCTGGTTTTTTAATTAATCTTTGCACCCTGCTAATTCACCTGCTTAATTGGCATTCAATAAACAAGGCAAAACATGGCGGAGCGAATATATGACTACAGTAGTAGGGGTAGCAGGCCTGCGGGACACGAGTCGGGAGCAAACTAGAGGAATGAGCCTTCCATGTTCAGTCTCCAAAATGATTAATGCTCTTTAATCAATTATAACCTCACAGGCTACATTAAGAGAGTCTCAGGATGGCTTCGGCTATGCTGCTGGTGTAACCAAAACACTGAGATTTGTGCTTGTATCAATGACAGTTTGCAAGTGGAGGGTGCAGAAATATGTTGTATATATCGTCTCATGTTGGCCTGGCAAGCTCTGCTAAGATGTTTCTAATGCTAATCAGTCTCCACTTGTCTTGCATGAGTCAATAATATTATCATTCTGCAGTACGTGAAAAATCAAGCAGGAAAACTGTGGACCACTATACAACATGACAGTGACACTTTGCTTTCACTCATTTGACACTGAGCACTAGTTAACATGAAACAAAGGTGAAGGTTAATGAACTGACTTTTAACTTTAAGGGAGTTTTACAGTGTTCACATCCCTACTGGTTGAGCAGACTTGTAGTCAGACTCATAGCCCTTGTCAATGCACCCCCTCAGGGTTTAGAACAATGCAGCAGGACACTGATCCAAAACAACCAAGGACTTCCTCATATGCTTCCTCAAATGGAAACTTGAACACTTTCAATACCTAATCACTGCTTCATTTAAAATCCATTGTGCTTCAGTACAGAATCAAACTGTCGTCCTGCTTAGGGATTGCCCTGTAAAGTATATAGGTCCAGTGTGTCAGTGGCTGAAATGGTTATAGAGTGCATGGCATGTGGATCTAAGAGAAGTAGAAGACATATAAAATGTTTTGCTTCAACTGTGACAAATTGATTATTTTGTCCACTACCCTCAAGTCTGATCCATGAGTGTGTAAGGGCACACACAGCAACTCTCCTGTGGGATGGTTTTAATGTCCTGGTGCAAAGTGTAACTGCTCAGGGATCACATAGGAGCTTATTACTAGAAGTGTTCATCCTGACAATGGCACATAGAAAGGCACATAAAGCCTCTTAACTAGCCAGAGCAGCACTGCGCTGTGACATTCTTCTTTCACCAGTTTTGTCTCTGCCAGCACCTCAATACCATACACTACTCTTAATGTGAAGACAACTCTCTAAGGAATAGTAACAGAGGCTAATTGGCACTGCAGTCTAATCAGTTCGGACAATAAATCATATTTAAGGATGTTTTCATGCTGACAAACAAGTAAAAGCATCATAATGTTATGACTACTAATGGCCACATCAGCACAGACAACTGTACCAATATGCGACAACTACTGACATGAATTCATGCCATCAGGGAGGTTGTCTGAATGGAGAGAACAACCTCAACAAACATTCCAGCACTGTTTTCCTATAATGATCCTTTTACAGACAACAGAGTCGAACAGACGATGAAAGGGGTCTGTTATACATCAAGGTGTAGAATAAAGACTCTACAGGTTCACTTGTTATTGTGTGTGCTATGTGTGCCCACGTTGAACCACTCGGTCCATGGTGCGCTACTACAACACAGCCGTCTCCTTAGCAAGACACTAATACTGGACATTTCATCAGCAGATTTATTACTGTGCATTTTGATGAGAGGTTTTGAATTCCAGCTGTGCACATCTTGGGAAATTCAACAACAGAATGCACAGAGAAAAGACATTCACCTCACCCTTCTAGAGGCAGTGCAGAAAGCAAATGTTTTTTCATGCATTTTAACTTTCCCTGTACTTGTATGAATATACTTCTGCTCTCAATAGTTAGCTTCAAAAATTCTAAAAAGAGTTCAACTGGTTTTCCTCCCCACTGTCTGAGTGTGTCCCAAATCCCTTTGATGACTTTTCAGTAATAGTCTATGTGTTATTTAAGGTTTGAGATACACAGCGCAATGTGTAAGCCATTTTCCAGAATTTTTTTTTTTCTTCCCACTTTCTCCTAGTCATTAATGCACAGTGGGTGGTCTCACTAATGTGGCATGGGTCATCCCTTCGTTTGAAGCCAGATAGACATCCAAGGCTGTAGTGTGCATCACTATAAAAATAATCAATAATGGGATGGGTGTAAAAACAAACAGGGCAACTAAAATGTATGTGTGTATAACATAAAGAGAGGTGTCAAAGACTGATGCTTCAGAGGAGCTTCGAGCATCACAAAAAACTACCCACCACTGTCATTTCTGGTGTGTACCACATCACAGCAGAAAAGTTTACAGTATACAAGAGCACCAGTACATAAGTAAATAACCCTTTCCTTTATGATTTCATTACTATAATTATACTTTCCAACCCCAAGTGTCAAGGCCTGTCAAATGTCGGACCAGCAAACGTCTTCTGTGTCGTCTGTCACTGAGCAAATTGAAGCCTGGGTTTAATGTCACGCCACTGTGAGCACAAACATAGTAATTGAGAGGTGAACTGAGTGACAGGGATGAGCACCCAGGCAAGAAAACACTGAGCAGGAGCCTGATGAAAACCAGGAGCACTGGCCGCATTTCTCTGGCCCTGGCAATAAAGACTATTGTATGAGAAAAGGAAAGGCAGGCACTGTACCACGCACACATACACACTCAGAGACATTACCCACAATAGTACACACAACCTATGCAATGAAGCCAGAGTAATTCAGCTCCCCACTTCAAAGAGACGGGCTGAAAGCTTTTTGTTAGATTTCAATCTTGCAGTACATAAGGCCAAAAATGCATTTCAACAGAGAAAATCACAAGTGTGACAGAGCTTTGACCCCACAGATGAGTGTGAAGTGAATTTTAAAGTTTGATGTTCTTCTGACTGTGGCCTAGGGAATACGTAGGTGGAGCCCTGCTTCACAAAAGCTCAACATCTGAATACAAAATAGAGTTATCATTACTATAAATACTGAACATATCTCAAGTCCATTTTGAATAAATTAAATACATAACAGCATTTGAGCTCACGTGGTTTTCTAAACCTCTGTGTCCTTTTTAAATAGAACAAATCACGATTTCATCATTGCTAAAAATCTATAGATAAAGTTCGATCCCGGTTCTGATCACAGTTGTGTGTGTGTGTCTCTCTACAGTTACGACTATTCAAGCTTTGTTTGGACACTATGAAGTTTACATGTACTAGCATTATTAGGTCTTTGATTATTTAAGTGTATGCAGATGTAATCATCACACACTTATTTCAGGTGTAATGCTGTGATAACTTTTAGTGGATTATATAGTAAAACAACAATTTTAAGATGTTGCATAAAAGTTCACAAAAAAAAAAAAAATCTCATCAGCAGTAAAACAAGGATGCCAGGAGTTTTGTGGGGACGTATTGATATAAAAAAAATTTCCAAACTTTGTGCTTTCTCAGACTCAATCACCAACATGTCACTCTGCTTCCCTACTCATACAACTGCACAGATTTATAAACCAATTCAACACTTACAAAACATGTACAGACTCACCATCATCTTCTCGAAGAGGTCAATGATCTCCTTTTCCGAGAGGTTCATGGAGCGGTCGTCAAAAAGTGGCTGAGGAAGAGGCAGTTCAGTCTGGGTAGAGCTAGGATCTGTTGGGTGCTGTATAAGGAGCTTCTCCTTCTTCATCCCCGTTTTCCTGAAACTGGTAATACGATCACGCTGAAAGAAAACATAGATTTGCAGACATTAAAATACTGCACCGTTAACAATCCTGTTTAGAAAAGGTGAAGTCTAAGGATCAATGTTTTCTAGTTACTACTGATTGTCACTGAAAGAAAATAATTTATAAAAAAAAGGTTCAGATTAATTTTAACGGCATCTAACCCGAATTTCATGTTGCCACAGACCAAATAGTTGTTTAGTGTCCTCCTATCAGAGGACACTGTTCTCCACAATTTCTAGTAAACAGGATCTGCTGATGGCAAGGACAGCTGAGAATGTGATTCTACTAACAAAAGTAGAAAAAATAGGTGGGGAAACATAAAAGATCTGCTGGTTTTACTTCACATCGACCCTGCAAGTCATTTCAAGAATAAGTCCAAACTAGACTCATTTTTATGACATTACACATCACTGACCTCTGTGGGTTTCAAGCAGGAGTGGCAAATCCCGGACCTCGCGGGCCGCTGCCCTGCTGGTTTTCCCCCAACTACTCCTGCCCAACCCACTGCTGATTACCTGGTTCAGGTGTGTTCAGTCAATCTGGTCCGAGGACCAGAACCGCCCACCCCCGGTTTAAATGTTGGAGTCTGTTGCACAGCTGACCACACCCAACATGCCAAACTGGCCACGCAGGGTGTAGACAGAGCAAGGACCAACCACTAGATGACAGTGCAAGCATGCGAGCAAGCCTAGGTGGAGTTACTTCATAAAACATATAGACCAGAGGTCTATGGTAACACTGGTGGAAACCATGAGGCTGTAATGCTCATGACACACCAGAAAACTAATTTCTTAAAATGATGAAAATAGCAAGACAATTTTTTTTTCCTGTACATCACTGCCACAAGTGGGGTACGTATGTCCCGGGGGAACGAGAGGAAAGGCCATGCAGTTTTGTTCTTTGATGAACATGACCCTCTTCATTACTATTCGACCAAAAGAAGGTGGTAGAGGATCAGTTATCATATGCCACTCTCTTACATTTTCCTTTTGTGGAAATCTGGTTGCCAGTTAAAAGACAAACAGGTACTTCCTGTGATGAGAATGAATTTGCCTAGTCACTGACATGGCAATCCATCCAGTGGTTGCTGCAATACTTCGCTAAGCACCTTGTTGGACCAACAAACAAAACAATAGGGGCATCTCTGGAACATCCTCTTTTTTATAAAGATTAAAAATGAAAATAAGCTCTAGTCAGGAATATATAAGCAAGTCGGACTCAGATTAGTAGAAATAACGGCTGTATGTGACATGGTATAGTTTATTAAACTTATCAGGACTTTACTTACCATCATACCCAAAGGATTAGCTGGTTTGTGCTCATGTCAGTGGAATAATTTTAGCATACAATAACACAGCCAGTAGAGTCAGTTGAGTTTCCTTGTTATATCAGAGTATTGTGAAGAATGCAATATATCGTAGTTTATTTTGAAAGCAAAAAAAAAAAAGTATATGCAAATATCAGTGTTAGTCATATTAAGTAAAATGGAAAAGAAAGGGCATGCTGGGTGAACGAACATATATAAATGAAGTGGAAAGACAAACGTCGGACGTACAGGACGTCACTACGGTCAGTTTGCTGAGATATGACTGGATGGATCAAACATACTGTAAGCCAAGACATTCAGTTACACGTTGGCAGAGCACCGTATAACCTAAAATTACTGCACTATGAGCTTCAGAGTGTCAAAGTCAGGCTACATGAGGGGTATTAAAAAAGCTCTAGGGTGAAACATCTAATCATTAGTGCCACTAATAATTTCAAACTAAATGATATACGAGGTGATTACAAAAGTCTAGATGCTATAGGCTAGGTTTTGTTCATAAAGAAGCATTTAAACTAACAGATGGCGGTGGTGTGAAGCTAGCAGCATGAAAAATCATCTTTTATTTATACAGTGTTATGGAGCACTAAGCCTTTTCTTTTTATTACTGTACAGAAGCGTACACATGATGCCATAACACATCTTTGTCATGTACAGTAGTGTTATAATATTAATTCAATCAATTTGCTTCTGGCACATTTGATCCATCCACATATTTCAGTTAACCATCTCATGCAGCCATGACAACACATGAGATCATGTAAAACAAAACTAGTCACACCAAAATTAAACCAAGCACCTTACCATATCATCAGCCAATGTTTTTATGTGTATGTTCTGTTGGAGGAAGGGCACAGTGTGAAGAACAACATCCAAAAGAATATGACAACACCCACAAAGTGCACAGAATGTAACTGAAGTGCGTCAGCATGTACAGGGTCTCGTTTTACTCTCAGAAACCAAATTACGTTTCCAGTAACAAACAGACTTGTATATATATGCTAGATTTCTTCATTATCATTTTTCCCCCAATGAGAATAATAGTATATCCTGGATACTGTACATGTGCAGGCTGTTACAATACTTGATGTGCCAAAATAATAGTGTCTTAATGTATGTAAATGTGTTCAAGAATGAACACCTGAAGGACAAACCAAATAAATACATAAAATGAGATGTATCATAAAGCACCTATAATCCCACAGCCACAGACATAATGAGCACACCTGTTCACAACACCTCCTAGAAGTTAATGGTTAAGATTGTGTGCATTCCAAACAAGGCAGTATCTTACAAACTGGCACCAAAAGGTACTTTTGTCTCAGTGCTATCTGTTCTAAAGAGCATCTCTTGCAGTGAAATTGATTCATATGTATTATTCTTGTTTATGGTTATTATAAACTTCAGTTAAACCTATTGCAAACCTTTCTAGCACCTGTATTTGCTTGCAAACCAAATCCTAACATCCTCACAAAATTTTACAAATAGCTCAAATAAAAAAAGAATTAAAACCACAACTTCTCTTTACTAGAGACGTTCATCCTTGTCTCAGACACAATAAGACAGGCTACTGCCAAAGGCTGGCAGCTCAGTGAGGGACAGTCATTTGAAACACACCTTAAATGGGAAGCAGTAGCAACACTGCCATATGCTGTGGTGCTAGGCTGTGAAGTACTAATGAGTAGGGAGAGGTGGGGTGGTGATGGCCATAAAGCCTGCCTCCAGCAGTGGATTTCTCCACTACTCTAATCAGGAAACTACTGAAGCCGGGGTGAGCAAACGGATTGGCTCTAACCTGCACCTCCCTCTGTGCATCTTCATCAGCTGTCGCTCTGGGCAACACTGAGCAGACACTAACAGCCATATCCATTGCTAGTTTTGTCTGCAACAACTGATCAACAGTTGGGAGATAAAGCTAAGAATCACAGAAAACAAAGATTCAGTCTGTATGCGCAGGCTTCATGTTGTAAGCTTTTATTTCAAGTCAAGATGATGAACAGGCCAAATTCATCAGGCATTATGCAAAGAAGGCTCTGCACAGAAAGTCCTTGTATTTGTTTCACCAACATTCGTGGCCTTTAACACAGCTGCACCCCCTCCTACAACATCTGTAAAGCTAAGAATTCAACCTGAGCAACAACTTTTCCCATTTCTAACTTAGAGCGCATGTATCATTAGGCCCAGCATTCTCTAACAGTCTAAAGCTGCGTGAAACAATAGCTAATTTTCAAATGGAGTACTTAAACATTTTCTAATCAATTTAACAACAATCAAACCACTGTTTGGTTAATTGCCTTGACTTGAGGGCCTTTCCTTGCCCATTATCTTGGCAACATCGCAACAACGCAATTTAACATCTAACAATTAAGCTCGCATGTCCTCTGGGCTTCTCCCGCTTATTAAAGTAAACTTTTTCATCATAATAAATGTTTATTACCAAACACATATTCCTCTAAATAACCTAATCAAATTAGCTCTGGGTCCCTCCTTAATCAAATATGATTATGACTCCACGCAGATCCTTAAAAATGAAAACACAAAGCAATATCCCACAACTTGAGAGTCAATTTGGGGACACAAAATCATACCAGTATGCATGTTCACACAGTAACTTGAAATTAATATTACACAATACAATAATGTATTACATCAAGTCATGTAGAGATATCTCTCTCTACTACACTACAATATACCACCAGATGGCACATTTTCAAAAAAAATGGACGCTGGATCACGGACCTTTGTTACAAATTGGCTACCGCTACAAAGCTTTTGAACAGCATCGCCTAATAAACTCACTAGTTTAACCAGACCATCTGTATGATGTCATTTTAACCCAGTCACTGGAACTATCACCATAAAATCAGTAGCCACGATGCCTTTGTAAAACGAGTTTCGAAGGAAATTAGATTTTACTTTAATTAGTTCTAAGAATAACAGAGGATTACTGGGAGCCAGCCATTGTTGGCAGGAAGGACTGTAATGCAATATGCTGCAGACACTTCTTGGTAACTTCATGAAACTACCTTATGTCTTTGTTTCAACAACTACAGGCTATAAGTGCTAGCAACACTCACACCTGCTTTTACTGTACATATTTCCTTGGGGGGGGGAACTTCCACATGCTGACAGAAGAGCTGTCATAAAGTTAGAAAAAATAGCACAAATTATAATTAGCCTCATTCCCTTCAGTACCTCAGAAGTCAGGTTGAATTTTCAGTTTATTCTTATTATTAGGTGCTCGTTTGCGTAGTCATCATCAGAGCGGTTTGTTTCTTGTTCAGAAAGTAACAGTTATCAATGTACTAAACAACCTTTTAACAATTCCACACATTTCTTTTCCCCTCCGTTGTATTTGGTGGAGTGAAGGCAAACTAGCAAAAGCAAATGAGGCTGCACTAAAAACATCTTAGACACTACTCACAACCATTAGGCAATGATTTGCTGAGATGCAATAGTCATTAACATTAGAGAACAACTGTAAAGCTGTATTTAAATGTATGTGGTATGTACAAAGCATAAAACATGCAATAAATGCACTGACCACAATGCACTTCCAAAACCTTTTTTCAAGCCATTCAACAACACAAACAGACGTTATGTTCAATTCAAATGCAGCCTACCATAATGCAGAAGATGTCAACAAAACTCTCAGCATGGTCTGAATAAATCTGCAAGGAAAAAGTGATGTGACGCAGAGCAATGGCGGTATGTGCACCGGCTGTGCTCATTATCAAAATCACACCGCTTCTTAGGTGAAACATTAGGCCGGTACTGTCTCACATGCAGTACAAGCCACACATCTTCCTTTAACTAAGGCACTTATGATGTTCATACCTCAGCTCAAGACAAGCTCTTTGTTCTATACATATTCTCTCCTTGAATTCAAAAAGTGGTATCATCTTCTCTTGTCTGTTTATGGCACATCAGCGTAAAACACAAATGGCTAAATATCTTAAGAATTATAGCCAAGCAGCTCTTTTAAATCTCACATTTGAATGCAGCATTTCAAAACCCATAACAATTAGCACAATTCAAAAGCAGAAAATGTTTTCAAAACTGTAGAGCAGTGTTAAAGGCCAGGACCATTTAAGTGACAACCAACAACAGAAGATGGTATCCTTTACTGAATGTCACCATAGGAGAATGCACATAGAGAGCTGACAGCATGGGCTTTAGTTATTAAACCGTTAATGTAAGAGGAAAATCTAAAACATGTTTTTACACTTAGCAACTAAGGTCCACCAAACTCCCACTGGGCAAGACAAATCTGTAACTGACAGCCCTTAAGGCCACATCAATTTTATTCTAGTTATATAAAGAGTAGTGTTTGCTAGACACAATCATAATCAAAATTATATAATTTGCCTTTGTCGTGTCAGATGTACAGCTCTGCCAGTATCATGCTCAATTTTGGGGGAGTGGCATCCAATGCCACAAAATACCATAGGAGTAGCTGAATGAAGAATTTCATTCGACTTTTATCCAAAACAATATCTAGGGAGCATTTATCCATTTTGATTATATTTACAAATCAAACCCAAGTTCAAAAGCCACATAGATGTACAGCTGTCTTCTCCTGGTGTTTCACCTCACAATATGCAAATAACTCTTCTTAACATTTAAATAACGGTAAACACCTGGTTTCATTGGCACAGTACCCTTGAGTTTCATCTTCATTCAGATGTTGGTGGATGCTTTCATCTCCCTGACTCATCTCTCTATTCTGATACCATCTTATCAAATATGAGAATTTGTTAATTAGATATGTTTGGTGTTTTTGACCATTGGTTGAAAAACAAAAACAATTCTATGATGACACTATGTTTGTTCTTTTATAGATTAAACAAAACAACAACAATTAAAGGGTTAATTAAAAAAGTAAATGGATTAATCAACAATAAAAATTAATAGTTGTAATCCTATTGTGGTCTAAAGCGTAACAAATTACTCAACAGAATCTACAGCAAAACCTGTCACAACAAAAGGATCCACTGCCTCCAATCACATATTTAGATTTTTTTCTTGATCGAACTTGTTTTAAAAACAGCGCCACGGAGATATCCACATCCAAGCATGTCTTTCTTTGACCTGGTCATCACAAGTAAGAGTAAAACTGAAGAGGATAGAATTTAGAGTGAAGGATTCTGAGCACTTGTGTCGTGACTGTAGGCAGTGCCACAAGCATACGTGGCAAGCTAACACACAAACAGGAGACAGCTTCTTATCCTTATCTATCTGCCATAATGGCACACTTGTCCTCTCTGCAAATTGGATAAGGAACAATTTAATCAAGCACCGAATGTCAAGCTGCTCTCCTGAACAAATAAAATAAGTCTTGACAGATGCAGTGTTGACTATATGATCTTACACACAGTCTTGACTTTGACTTATTTTCACTTGTTTCATTCCAAAAAAAATTCCAAAAACAGCACAAGTAATTTGAAAAAGAAAGGAAAGCAATAAAGAATGCAAGAGATTTCTGGGAGAGCACATGTGCCTTTAAAAGGGCACGAGTCTGTGGTAGCCTTATTATTTCAGCAAAGTGCTGGTAATGTTTACAGTTTCCTAAAACAGTGTCTATTCAAAAGGAGAAGCACAGTTAAGATTTGAATTGCTCCACACTGGATATCCTGACCATGTGACTGCAGACCAACACAGCACTGCCCTCTGGTTATCTCTGTTGAAAGCTCATTTCTATTGTTGTCTCTTTTAGGCAGTGGATCAGTTGGTTAGTAGTCATTCTGTACCGACTTCTTTCCCACAGTGTCCCACATTACATGAAAAGGTTCTTTCAGCAAATCATTGTTTTTTTTTTTCCTTTAGCTGTAATGGTT